TTTCTTAAGCTGTGATGCCTACCTTTAATATTTACATCATCATAGCCCTAGATGCCTTACATGGCCTGGGTATTCTGAGAAATGAGTCCTCTTTACAATTAAACCAACAGCATTGGCAAGCAAAGTTTTGTGTGAAAGGGTTACAAAACAGTTAAGCATTCATTTGTTTAGAGCAGTAGAAAATTATCTTCAGCATTAACCAGGATACTATTCCAATGAATTGAGAGTTCCTATATATGAGCTCTTACAGGAACTGGCACCTTTCAGAGAACCTGGTTTATAAGTGAAGTGGTTTGCAAGTTCTTAAGGGTGATATGGGGATCATAGTAGTGTAAAAGGGGGAGGGAAATGGTAGGACCGCAGGCCTAGTGTCCCTTTTCCAAAAACTTCACTTGTGTTTTATATGTTGATTTTTTTTACATGTTTAAAACACTTTCTAAAAAGAGAAACCTTTTAACAAAATTGAATGCTACTGAACTATTTTAATCTTTTAACAAAAGTCTTCTGATAGCATTTAAACCTTTTTGAATGTTAACATTCTGTGGAATTATTGTTATAATCATTGTAACAATCATTATGGTGGGGAAATCAGTGGTCATAGCAGAACATATCTTCTAGTGGTTTAAAAATAATTACCTGAAGTTGGACATGGTGGTACTTGCCGTAATTTGAGCTACTCAGAGGCTGAGGCAGGAGGATCACAAGTTCAAGGCCAGCCTGGGTAACTTAATGAGACCCTGCCTCTAAAAAGATCTGGAGATGTGATTCACTGGTAGAGCTCCCTGAATTCAATACCAAGTACAAAAAAAAAAAAAAAAATTAGAATAAAACCTGTTTTATTCTAATTGCTTTTACTTAGGACAGTTGGGAGTTTGTTCATTCTTTCATTTGATTAAATGGTTAATTTCCTACGTTACTGCCACATTGTACACATTTTTGTCTGGCAAGTTTGGGAACAAGTGAATTTTGTAAAAGGACTCTGACCCAAAGTGGAAGTAGGAAGTTACCCCAAACCTTTTGAAAGGAAAAGCCTTGAGAAAAACATCAAACCCAGGCACTTGGGCCTATAATAAATGTGAATCACAGGCTTCCTTTTTCTTCAGCAAATGTCAGAAACGCTTGGCATCTGAGTGCATTGTGTTTCTCCCCCTTTTTCAGAATGGCTCGACTTGGAAAGGTCAACATATCCCTTTATCCCTTTGGGAAAATCTTTTCTTATAAATTGGAATGTTTATACACATAATTGTAGGAAAAGTTTAACATTTGCTTTGATGGGACAGCACTTTGTTCGATAGAATGAAATTATTCTTTTTTTCCATTTTCCTGCCTGTTTGTACATCATAGTCACCCAAATTACTGAAAGAACTCTGAGGCACTTCTTTGTTTGGGATCAGATCATCCTGTCCACAAAATCAGCCAACGCCTTGGGCTTCCAAAAGGCAAGCATGTTCCATCCTTTATTTACTCCAAGGGACTCATTTGTGAGAGACTTTGTTCTGAATCAAAGCAGTAATTTTCCATAGACTGTATATGCTATATACTCTAAAGGAGGAGAAGGGATATGGCGATGGGGAAGAGCAGAAGAAAAAGGAATAACTGCTCTAGTCCCTCCCTCCTGTTTTACCTTTGTACAAATTTCATCCCATGTGGACAGGATATATAGTGTCCAGTGTCTCAAATGAGTTGCTTTTTGTCTTTTGGTTTTTGTAAAGCATTCAGGACATCAAGACAACAAAGTGATTTGCTATTATTGATTATCTGCCTCCATTTTGATAACATAAATGCATGTAGTCATGAACATTCTTTCTCATTATAGAGTCCATTTTTTTGGCCCATCTTGAATTGACAAGCAAATATATTGGGCAGATATATTTGTTTCCGTAGCAACCAACAAGCAGATACCAAAAACAGGTTTATGATTCTTCTTAAAGTAAAAATGACTTAATTTAGCAATGACTAAAAATAAACACTAGGAGGGACTTTTAGGAAGATACCAGTATCTAGGTATTAGTCTGGGCTGGGCTACAGGAAGGAACCTGAGTCAGTATGGCTCATTATTTTGGTATACTTCCAATCATTCACCTCCAGAAATAGTTTTTCCCTTCTATTTCAGCCAAATCCCTCTCCTACTGACAGGAATTGCAAGTTGTGTGTTGTGTTAGTACAAATGTGTATGCCCAAGGTACATACGTTGGAACACAAGGTATTCCAATAGAAACAATCCTAAACAGATGAACCTTCTCTTTCTACACATGTCCTTCTACCCTAGATCCTAGTCCTTCTCTAGGATTTCCCTCTTTCAATTAACCCCTTCTCTCCTATGTTAGAAATTTTTTTCCTTCATTGGCTCTACCACTAAAGCATACAAATATGTTCTATTCCTCTCAATATTGAAAAATAAAGCCCTTTGCTCTTATCTCTTTGTAACTACCACCCACTTCCTGCTTCCCTTCACAGTAAAACTTAAAAACAAATTATTCCACACACTTCTTTCTACTTTCTCTTCTATTCACTCTTCAATGTGCTAAAAAACATTATTGGGTGCTGGGGCTGTGGCTCTACTGGATTCGATCCTCAGCACCACATAAATAAAATAAAAGGTATTGTGTCCACTTACAACTAAAACAATAAAAAAATAATTGCACACATTTATTTCTATTTTATCTCTTCCACTCACTTTTAACCTGCTACAATCTGGCTTCCATCCCCTTTTCTCCAAAGAGTGTTATCTTGAAGACATTAAATCTTACTATCCAAGTCAGCGAACAAAACATTTAGTGCTATTCATTCTTTTGATAGAGTATCAACACAGGTGACCACTCTATACATCTCGAATCACTCTTCTCCCGGTTTTCATAACACTACATCCATCAAGTTTTCCTCCTACCTTTGAGGCTGCCTTTTTGGCTTTGTTGGTTCTTTATTGTCTACTTCTAAATGTGCAAGTACCACAGGACTCAGTGTTTGGCTTTCTTTACACTTTTTTTGGATGATTTCATCTATCTCATGGCTTTAAATATTATTCAAAACCAAATGAACCCAATTTTATAACTAGTTGTGACAGCTCCCATAATTTTCACATTCATATATGTGGTTACTTACCTGGCATTTCCACATAGATATTTCAATACACATCTCAAGTTTATTTTCCTGGCCAAACTTGTTCCTCTTAAACTCCACATTCTTAGAAAATGGCACTAATAGTAATCCAGTTCAAGTCAAAATTCTAGGAGCCAATTTTAATTTCTTACAACCTACCCTTTATCTATCAGCAGATCACATCAATTTTAATTATTCAATGTATCTTTAATTATTCAACTTAATCACCAAATCTACTTCTATCTCCAAGTAATCATGATTTCTCATCTTCACTATTAAAATAGACCTTTAAATGAGCTTTCTGTCTACCTACAATTCACTCTCATATAGCAATCAAGTTGTTTTTATTTTGTTTTGTTTTGTTGAATGGGGATTGAGCCCAGGGACACTCTATCACTGAGCCACATCCCCAGCCCTATTTTATATTTTATTTAGAGACAGGGTCTCACTGAGTTGCTTAGTTGCTGAGGCTCGCTAAACTGAACTCATGATCTTTTTGCCTCAGCCTCACAAACCACTAGTATTATAGGCTTGCACCACCTAAGTTTTTAAAAATGGAAAAAGAAATCTATATCATTGTTCTGTTTAAAATCCATAAATATTTTCTCATTGCTCTACCAATAAATTCAAACCCCCTAGTAAGTTCCCCCAATAAATTCAAACCCTACCATGATTTGCATGGCCCCATATGAATCAACTTCTTGTCTACTTCAGTCTTTCCCTTCTCCCACTCTGCTCTAGCCATCCTAGTCTCCTTGATGCTCCATAACATGTGAAGCCCTTTTCTGGCTCAGGGTCTTTGCATTTGTTCTTTTTGCAAATTCTATCCGTATCTTCATGATTGACCTTTTCATCTATTACCTTGTTACTTCTTCAGAGATGTGTTCCTTACCTTCATCCCATCATTCTTAAGTCAAAATGCCTTATTTCCCTCAAAATACCAGTCTTGAAAACTATCTTTGTTAGCATGTACTTATCTTTCACAGACATAGAAAATAAGCTCCTTGAGGGCACTATTGATGACCAGACTAACAAAATATAGGCTAGCATGTGAGAACCCAGGAAGCAGTTGTTGGATTAATTTATTCAACAATGATTGTTAGACCTCTTAGTATGTTGCAGCTACTATTCTGTGTTCTGGACATACATCTGTGGACTAAACAGACTGCAGACTCCTTCCTTATTCATAAATATATCAGGGGTAAGATGGAAAATAATCACGACAGAAAGTTTTTTAAAAAGTGTGTCTAAAGGTAACAAATAAGTGCTATGGTGGAAGAGTTTCTGGGTGAGAAATTAGGCTGCTCATCCCAGGTCTCCTCCCTTTGTATGATAAGGTAGAAAAGTATTTGCTTTGCAGCACTCGAAATACTGGTTTCTGGGGGCTAGGGATGTGGCTCAAGCAGTAGCGCGCTCGCCTCACTCTCTCTTTAAAAAAAAAAAAGAAAGAAATACTGGTTTCTGGAGATGAACTACAAAATCCTAAGCAATTTTCCTCTTTGAGGCTCAGCCCCCCTAAAATATAATAGTATCCATTCCATGAGAATGGTATGAGGAATAAGTGAATAATACAGATCAAATATTACCTCATCCCTTCCCACCACCCAAACTCTATCATTACAAGGGAAGGAGGAGAGATGGTACTACCACACTCTTCCTCTCCTATGCATCTTGCAAGCTAAAAAAAAAAAAATCAAGTGGAAATATTCAATATATGCTTATTGAATAAATATGACTTTTTAAAAGCAAACAAAGTTTTTCTTTTCTTTTTTTTGGAGAAACCATGCTTTTCAAGTCAAGGAAGGAAATTTTCACCTTTAATAATTATTTTCCCTTTTCTCATTCTTTATTTTTACAGATCTGCTATTTATTCTTATATATAAAAGTAAACACAATTATTCTACAGGAGGATAAAACCTTTATTTAAATGGAAACACTAATCTTTATTTTCATCATGCTTAAGTGTGTGGTTACAAACAATCTCCAATAAAACACTATATAGAATAAGCAAAAAAATAAGTTAGTACATTGTAAACTTACGTACAGTTTCATCAATTAACAGGTTTAAGAACAAACAAGCCATTTAAGACTTTGGAGCTACATTTATTTAAAAACTGCAAACAGTCAAACCTTATCAACCCCAAGTAAGACACTAAAGAGCTATTCAAGACTTCTTTGAATCAATTACACAAATACATTTTTTATTTTTGGTTACAGTCCCCTGCTATGCACAAGACCATTGGAATGCTGGAACAGTTACACATTTTAAAACGGCACAAAGCAAAGCAAGGAGATAACATGCCAGCCTTGGAGAAGCTGTCTTCAAAGTGCAAACTTTGCATTTTCTCTTCCTGAACCACTAGAATAATAGGTACCTCAGACGACACGGGCAGGGTCATGAGCATGCTTTCTATACCACACTGGTGGGACATTTACTGGAACCAGGTCTCCATGCCTTTGAAGATACCTCCGGTTTTAAACAGTGAACAGGCTTCAACTAACTATAGTGCAAATCAAAATACCGAGGAGCAAAACGACAGAATAGAGACTGCCACAGATCGACCTGCTGTTTCTCTACCTGGCACAACGCCACACGGGACAAATTGGCACACAGCAAAAACTTCTATTTAGGTTTTGATGTGGAAGGCGGTGCGGCGGAGCGAATGCAGGGCGACCACACAGCAGCCCCGCAGCAAGGCTCCGATGTTGTAGACCGGATCTATCCCCCCTCTCTGAGTACTGAATGCCCACAGGACAGTGGGCACCACCGGGGCAGCCACGGCCAAGAGATCAACCAGGAAACTGCTGCTCCAGTACTGCCTCACGACACCCCCCTGGGGCAGCGGGACGACGCTCTCCAGCCTTTCTTCGGCATAGGCTGAAAAATCCAGCTCTCTCATGAGGCGGTTGTCGCGGGTGTCGGTGGCCTCCTTGCCCAGCGGGGTCTCCACGGGAGACAGAAGGATGGCAGAGTTGGGATTTCTTGGAGTTAAATCAACCACCAAGGCCGAGACGGACTCTGGGAAGCTCTCCACCGAGTCAGCCCCAGACTCGTCAGGGGAAGCTGAGCTCGAGGGACAGGGGTCCTGGAACTGGAGCATATTCTGAATGAGCTCGGAGACAGCAGGGCTGAAGAGCACCACGTCGGTCTGCACCGCCTGCTCCACCAGCGCCACGACCTCCTCCTCCTCGCGACCCACCCCCTCGGGGGCCGCCTCCAGGATTTTGGCCCCGGGGGTGGAATGAACCAGCTCCAGGTCACCCGATTCTGTGGTGGTGGCAGTTGTCACCATCTCGTCTAACAAATCAGTGCCGTCGGCCATGCTGTCTCCCACCAGCAGCTCACTATCGGCCCCTTCCTCTGTGACCTGCTCTTCCAGAGCTAATCCACCTGCCATCTTGCCATAAGGGGCATTTAGAGGTAGGCTCTTTTCCGGGGAATCACACGGTAAGTCCAGACACAGTTCATCCCTCAGGGAGCCGTTGTGCGCCATCTCCATGCTCTGAAGCAGAGACTCCAACTTCTTGTTTTGGATGTTAATGTCCACAAAATATTTCTGAATGCCTTTATCTTTATCAGCCAAGCTGCTTCTCATGGTTTCAATGACCTGTTTGAGCTGTTTAATCTCCTTCCTGGCTTCCTTGAGTGCCAGCTGGGCCTCAACCCGGTGGCACTCTTCTTCAATCCAGTCTTCTCTCATACGGGTCAGCTGGGACTTGAGCTCCACAATTTCAGTTTCCCTAGAGGGACAGCAAGCACCGTTAAGAAAATGGGAACTTTGAACCAGCCCACCAGCAATTCTGACACACAGCCTGAAGCCCAGGCTCTTCCCATTCAAACTAAGGTTAGCCAGGTATGGTATATATGCCTATAATCCCAGCCGCTTGGGAGCTGAGGCTAGAGCGAGTTCAAAGCCAGCCTCAGCAAAAATGAGGTACTAAGCAACTCAGTGAGACCCTGTCTCTAAATAAAATATAAAATAGGGCTGGAGATGTGGCTCAGTGGTCAAGTGCCCCTGAGTTTAATCCTCAATACCCAATCCCCCCTACTCTCCCCCCAAACCAGTAAGGGTTAAATCTGTTTTGGAATGATTTTGTCAGGTATTAGCTATGAACTTCCTCCTTTAATTGTGAAATAGCTGAAGTAGTAATAGTGACCAGAATCAGAATTAAAATTGCTACCATTGTTTTCTTTTTTAAAAAAAGAGTACGCACTGTCAGCACTGCACAAAGCACTTTACAAGCATTATCTTCTACTCAATATTATTATTTGACATTCTATTATTAGAATTTCTTCGCCTGCTTTTATCTACATAGCCTTCCATTTCATAATACTTAGGAACAGCTGCGGAAGGAAAGTCCATTTTGCTTTAATTACCAATCAAGGACAGAAGCTGAAATGGTAAATTTTAGCTTTGCAAAACTGTTCTGATCATATTCCAATGATAACTAAAATGTTTTAAAATGTTACATGTTGCAAGGACTTTGTGCAAAGTCACTTCTCCATCTCCTCAAGTAAAACAATTGAACCCATCCTACACAAAGGAGAATCTATGCTATTTTTTGGTCCTTCAAAAATCTTTCCACGAACTCCTCACATCATACACTAAACAATCCCAGGAAGTATGGGATGACTCACCCCAGAAGTGAATTTGGGTCTCAAGTCTATTTTGAACCGTTAGTAAAGAATCAAATTAACTTGGAAGATGAAAAATGCCCCTTCTGACAGCCTGTAATATTATCTGCCCAGAGTTTTATCAATCAAGGTTATTGAGTCTTCTCCATATCCTTGTGCCAGTAGAAGAGATTAGGGCTGGTCAAGCAGCCATGTGCTGGATCAGACCCCACACTCACAAAAGGATGCTAACACCACCCATAACCTGAGCTCACACCTACCCTGATTAGAGTGCTATTAATCTGTCCCAAAATATTTCAGGGAAAAACTATCAAGCATAAAAACTGGCTTGCCCCCAAAATGTCAAAGGTCTTTTCTCTCTGAGATAAGATCTCTCCAGCATGTTTTTTTTTTGTGTGTATGTGTGTGCGTGTGTTTAACCTTAAAGTTTAGCCAAGAATAATGAAACCTCTTCCTCTAGCACAGAAATAGCTTGCAGGAATCACAATGCATGCAGATATGTACTCTCTTGCTGAGATAAATAGCGTTTGATGGGGCCATGTGTGACCCATTTTTCTGGAAGTGCAGAATTGTTCCTGAAAGTGTTTCTGCCATTTAAAAATAGTCACATACATGCCCAGTTCTTCATGTTGAAGCTGTACAAACCCAGAAAAAAGCAGGGGCCCCATTAACCTAGAAGGCCCCCTGAATTCCTGAAACAGTTGAACCATAAAGAAGAAAGAAATGGCTCTGTTCAAAGACCAACTTCAGAAATATGACAAAATTAAATAAAATCATTTTTTTCTTTTTTATTTTTCTATATAGTTTGGGTTCATATTTCATTTTAGGGAACCAGAATACTGTCCTAAACCACACTGTACAAGAATTTGCAGATTCACCTTTCATGAAGTCGGCGCTCCGATTCTTTAAGCTTGGTCTTCAGGTGTCTCACTGTGACTTCTTTCTGCTGCAGAGGAGTCAGATACTGCTCTGGATTTGGGGGTTTGACACCATGGTTTTCTCCACAAGACATGTACCTTCCAGACCGCCTGAAACAAGCCAAGTAATGAGATGTTAGTTTCTGCCATTTCCTTTTCTATAGGAAAGAAAAGTAATGGTGTGTTAGACTGAATGTCTATGTCCCTCAAGATTGATATATTGAAATCCTAACTCCCAATGTGATGATATTTGGAGATGGGGTCTTTGGGGGACATAATTGGGTCATATTTGTTCTCTGTAAGAGAGACTCCAGAGAGCTCTCTAGCTCTCTCTTTCTACCTTGTGAGGTAACAAAAGTTGGTAGTCTATAACCCAGAAGACAGAGCTTCCCAGAACCTTACTGGCACTACAATCTCAGATTTCCAGTCTCCAAAGCTGTCAGAAACAGCTCTATTGTGTATAGATTGTCACATCTATGGCACTTTGTTTTAGCAGCCCAACTAGACACAGCTGAGGCTTGTAAAGAAATGGCAGCCGTATATTGGGGTCTTAAACCTCCGTAACAGATGAGCTCACTTCAGAAGGTGGACTGTAATATACCTGTCAATATTAGTACTACAAATTACTTAGAAGACAGGTGCATGTGAAGGTAGGGACAATGGAGAGGGGGGATTTTCAATGGCTTAGGAATGATCTCATAAGAAACAACAATGCACAATTGTCCACAGGCCTGGGCTGTCAGTTGAGTGACATGCTATTATATGAAAGGGCACTGAATGGAGGGGAGGGAGAAACTTTCTATGCAGTGTGCCACTGCCTAAAGATCCTGCTTGCCGTGAGCTGAATTCAGATTGTTCTAAAATCAATCCCCTGTGTGAGTGTGCTGATTGGGCACAAATGAAAAGTTATTTCTTGTGAAAGGAACAAACTTACCCCACTCTCACTAGTGTGTTTTGTGAGAGAGGTGCTTGATATTCTACACACACAGTCCCAGCTGGAATCTTGGCCCCTCTCAGACCTGGCCAGAAGCTGGGCATCCCTGCTGTAAGAGAGCTGACTAATGAGAACAGGGACACCCTAAAGACAGAGGACTAGAAGAGAGTGCTGCCAGCTCCTTCCCTGACTCTGGACCCAATCCAAGCTGCTGTGCTGCCCTGCCTCCTGTGCCTGCACTCCCTCTGATGGCCTGTGTACAGCTCCCAACCCTCTGGCCCTCCTCTCTGGCCCCTTTAAATAAACAGTTCCTTTTGCTTCTCCACACTTCGCCCCACCCTATGTTATTAACTCCTTGCCTTCTCCGCTAATTTCACTTTGATGTCATTTCCTTATGGTGGTTTCCTGGTCCCTCCATCCTCAGCTGGACCTCTTCCCCATCTTTTCACACACATATAGCAGCAAGTACTTGCAGAATAATCTGCATTTGTTTTTGTTAGTAGATGGTTAATGCCTTTCTTCTCTGGGCAGTGAACACAGGGCGATTTCAGTTCACTATTCTACTCTCAGGGCTTAACATCATGCATGGAACTCAATAAACATTCAGTGTTGGAATGAAATAACACATGCATGATTCTCTCTGCTGAGGGAAATGAGTATTTCCTTTCTGCTGCCCCTGTGCCATTTTCCCTCCCTGTTTGGACTGCTGGACCTCATTAGAAATTGTGGTTTGTGCTCTTTCTGCAGCAGTCCTTGAAGGATTAGCTTAGTGTGGGAAAGGAAAGAGTAGTGTTTTATTTAACAGAATAAGGCAGGGTATAATAAGCTGTACCCTCTCCCCACTCTTTTTTTAAAGAAAAGCTTCCCAAATAGTATGAACTAACAAGCATGAATTAAGAGGGCAACAAGACTTACCTCATGACTGGGCTGCAGTCACTTCCTTTGTAGGAGCCCGAGTTGCTACTGCTTGGGGAGGAAGGGGCATAATTGGGATGGATATTAATGGGGCTCAGCTGATTCCTGCACAGCATAGACAGAAGGTCCTTTTCCCGTGGGGATGGTGGACTGTTGCCAGACTTGTGCGATGAGGCTCCATTACTTCGCCCATGGGGACCTCGACTGAAAAAAAAGCATGACAGATTTTAGAATTCTTGTTGCTAGAGCTCTCTGCTTCCTGGTTGCCAAGTTCTGAGCTGTTTCCATCCACCACATCCTTCCATCATGATATTTGCCTCACCTCAGACCCACCATGAACTGAACCTCAGAAACCATAAGCCAAAATAAAGTTTTCCTCTTCTAAGTTGTTCTTGTCAGGTCTTTTGGTCACAGTGACAAAAAACCTGACTAAAACGGAAATCGGCACCAAGAAATGGGAATCACTGCTGTGACTAAGTTAAACATGTGATTTGAAAGCCTTTGGAACTGGTTTATGAAGGAATTTTGAAAAACCAAATGATGTAAGCTGGAGAAGTTTTAGAATGTTATAAGTGGGGCTTAATGGGAAATTCTGGTGAGAGCTCAAAAGACCAAAATGTTGATAGGACTGTGAGCAGTAAAGACTGGGCTCATTAAATTTTGGAGAGGAAGGTGGATTCTATTGGAAATGGAATAGAGGTCATTCATGTTACATTCTGGCAACTGTCTACATATTATCCATTCGTGAGATTTTTCTGTGAGGCTGAATTTAAAAGTACTGGACTAATTGATCTGGTGGAGAAAATTTCAAGGCAGTACAGCATTCAGGCAGTGGCATGAATATTGCTGAGTGCTTTTAGCCAAGTTTACTGTGATAATTAGGAGCAGAAAGATTTGAAGAGCTTTCAGTTTGGCCAGAAAAGTGCAAGTAAAACCGGTAAGGAAGGTGTGATTGTTAAAGAGATTTTAAGCCACCAAAGATATGCTAAGTACTTTATTCAGAGACAATAGGAACGATGGCTTGAGGGCATTCCAGGAATTAGCAAAATAACCATCTCAAACTCAAGGGTGTAAAAGTAAAAATTCCTTAGAAGAGACCACAGGATCACCCTGCTTTCACAAGGGGGGGGGCTCTAGGGGGGGGCTCTAGGAAATTTTTTTCATTGTGCTTAGCTGCTCAGGCACTCAGAGGCTACTGGAGGTGTAGTCTCAGAAGGCCTGGATACTGCTCAAGATGATGGCAGACTTTGTAGTCAACCATATATGCTGGTTCTCCAGGAATTCAGGATGCTGGAATTAGGAAAGCATGGAATTAGTTCTACCAAGATTTCAAAGGAAGGCCTGGGAGCCAGGCAACAGGTAGTGGGGTTGGAATCCCTGCAGGCAGCCCCTGAGAGGATAATGCATAAAAAATGTGAAAAGGAAGGTGAACCTGCAGTGGAAACCCCAAGATTAAAAGATACCTGTATTGTAGAATGTTTGCTGAGGAAAGCTGCAGGAATTGAGCAGAGATAAACCAAGAGAGAGGCCATGTGGGCTATAACTAGAAAGGTCATATACAAGCCTTTTGCAGAGAATATCTCCATGCCATGTGCCACAGATGCTACACAAGAAGCTACAGGGCTTGTTTGCTTAGCTGGATTTTGGTCGTTTTTGTTTTGGTCCCACCTGTTCTTTCTGTGCCCTTATTTTTCCCTTTTGGAATACAAATGTTTACTCTGTGCCATTATATATTGGATAGATATATATATATATATATATTTATATATATATATTTATAAATTACTTTTGATTTTTATAGGGACTCATGCTGACTGCTTGCCTTGAGTCTTAGAAGAGACTTTGGACTTGGACTTTTGGACAATGCTAAAACTGTTAAGACTATAGGGACTCTTAGAAATGGACTAAATGTGTTTTGCACTGTGAGATGGTCATGGGCTTTTGGGTCCAGTGGGGAATGTTATGATTTAGATATAAAGTATCCTCCAAAAGCTCATGTTTGAGACAATGCAAGAATGTTTAGAGGCAAAATGACTGGATTATGAGAGCTTTAACTTAAATCAGCAGATTAACTAGGTGGTAACTGATAGAGATGAATTAGATGGAGAAAACAGGCCCCTGGGGACATGCCATTAGGGTTTGTATTTTGTCCTTGGTGAATGGAGCTCTCTATCTGCTTCATTTTTTTAAAATTTTTTTTTAAGTTTGTTTTAAAAAGTTAGTTATACATGACAGCAGAATGCATTTCAACTCATTGTACACAAATGGAGCACAGCTTTTCATTTCTCTGGTTGTACACCATGTAGAGTTGCACCATATGTGTAGTCATACATGTACCTAGGGTAATGATGTCCATCTCATTCCACTATCTTTCCTGCCTCCATGCTCCCATCCCATTCCTTCCCTTTTGTCCAAAGTTTCTCCATTCTTCCCATCTCTGCCCCGTTTCTGCTTCTTGGTTGCCATATCCTGAGCTGCTTCCCTCTGCCACTCCCTTCCACCATGATGTTCTCCCAAACCTTGGGCTCAGACTATAGATTCAACTGACTGTGGACTAAACCTCTGAAACTGCCAAAATAATTTTTTCCTCTTTAGAAAGCATTCTTGTTGCTACAGATACTGCAGTGCCAATGTCTTAGCCCTCACTAAAGCTAGTTACCATTGAGGAAATCCAATTCATGGAGTCAAAAGGGACAATCTAATTCTGATGCAAATGTGTCTCTTGAGCTGCCTTTTCCCCACCTGCCTGTTATTTCCCCTTCTGGCATCATTAGCACAAGCAACCTCTCTCTCTGCTCTTCTTTCAAATAGTTTCTGACCATAAAGCTTGTTTTAGATTAAACCCAATTGCCTGATGGGAATACACACCATGTTAAATACTGATTTGGCTTAGGTTCATTTTGGAGGCTGTTTTGAAGATGTGTTTTTTTTTTTTCCCCCAGTATACCTGTTTTGGTTGAAAAATATTTGAGTTTGATTTATGGTGAAGTAAGAAAACTAAGATGATTCATCTGGAGGATAAGAGGAATGGGAATTGCCCACAAAGGAGGAAACATGGATAAAGAGGCTACCAGAATATATCAAGTCTATAATTTGGTTGGTTAGTTTTGTAGTACTCGGGATTGAACCTAGGGGCACTCTATCACTGAGCTGCGTTTCAAGCCCTTTTTTTATTTTTTTTTTTATTTGGAGACAGTTTTGCTAAATTGCTGAGGTTAGCCTCAAACTGGCGATGCCCCTGCCTTAGCCTTTCAAGATTGGGATTACAAGCATGTTCCAACCACACTTGACTCAAGTCTATAATTTTAACCACTTAATTTTTTTTCTTTTCTGTTCCTCCTCAATGACTTAACACAACCTTTCTCATTCAACTACTACGACGTTGCAACAGCCCCCTCTTCACACTCTTGCCTCTTGCATTGTTCACTACAGCAGCAGGTTGATGTGTGTCTGGAGTAGTCTTTCTGAAATGGAATCTGAATACCACTGTCCTCCTCTAAGCATTGCCTCCACAATGAAGAGCAGCCTCCTTAAGATGGCTCACAGGGTCCAATTCACCTTCCCTTTCAACCCATCCTTCACCAGCCCTCCTTCCTTCTTCATACTCCACATTCTGAACAACCTAGTTTCCTGAAGGATGCCTCCTACTTCAGAATCAAAGAAAGCTACTCCAAGAAGCTTTCTCTTATTTTGTCCCCTAGGCCAGGGCAGGTACCTCTCTTGGGTACTCCCTAATACTCTGCTAGTTTCCATCCTGAAACTTGTCACATGGTGTCACCATTGCATAGTTCCTTGTCTTGCCTACTGGACTGGGCTTTCTTGAGCGCACGAACACAAACTGTTCTTTTACATCCCTACTACTCCCTGGCACATGGAAGGTGCTCTCTAAATGATCAGTGGATTTCAGTCCTGACACTGCCACTTATTAGGAATGAAAAATCAGAAAGGGCATATAAGTGCAGTTGAGAGGTTAAGTGCAACTGACCTGCAGGCTAGTATTACAGGATCTACTTGTTTGGACTTTCCTGTTAATCTAGTTACAGAGATTTGATACCCACTAGTGTAGGGAAGAATCTTGAGAATGTTAAAATTACTTAAACAGGATAAAAGTTTCAGCTTTAGTCTTATTACTTAATGGCATTACAAAAAGAAAGAGGAAGAAGATTCCTTTCATATGGTAGAACTTCTTTTTGAGATTCCCTTCTGTTTGCAATTTTACTTACAGTTTTATCCAACTGACACATCTCAATGAGAGATGTGTGGAAATGTGAATGTGAGTGTGTGTGTGTGTGTGTGTGTGTGTGTGTGTATGGGGGGGGATGTAAATTTGGCTTCCAAACCTTAATTACTGATTTAAAATCAAATATAATTTCAACTAGCTGTCAACCCAGAAAATCACACATAAATGAAACTACCAAATTCTAAAATTAAAAGTTCTTTCATTTTGAAATCATCCAAATGCGTTCTGTCTCATTTTTGTGAGAAGGGGACATTTTATATGGAACAGATGGGCTCCATGGCTTTGGGACAAACCAACTTCAGCAGGCCAGGAGAGGGAAGAGCCTTATGAGTAGCTAAAAGAAACATGTATTCTGGCTTGGGTTTTCTTTTCTATGCTTCACTTCTAAGCATGGCATCAGGTAGCCTATTTCTTTATATGACTTTGGAACATGAAGGATTAACCCTTACAAATTAGGAGAGAATGTCAAGAGCTATCCCTAATTTTGATCCAGGGAACTCAATTCTGAGTTAACCTTCACTGAGGACCTTCTGTGACCCTAGTGCTGTTTCAGATCCTTTATGAACTTTGTTTCATTTCACTTGACCGTGATCCTACAAGGTGGATGTGGTTCTTTCCTCCCATTTACACGTGAAGTAACTGAGGCTCGAGGAAGATAAATGGTCCAAGAACACACAGGTAGCTGGGATTCAAATTCAGATCTTTGTAACTTTATAGAAATGTCTCCTAATTAAAAAAAAATGAACACATTCCTTTGGGCCTATAAGCAGGTGTATTAGGCACTAGCTACACATGTAGTTACTACCTAAAGAATTTACCACAACATATATAATGCAACAAAGCACTAAGGTACACGATTTGTGACAAATTAGATGTGGATTTTCGTGGGAATCCATCCCCCTACACAGAACAAAGCAAAGATTCTTCAAATTATAAAAGATTACTCAATATAATCAAGACTTCATAAATATCTCAGAAAGGAGATTATGAGACTGTTCTAAAAGAGAAACTACGTTGTAAAAGCTATTAGCTCTATTCCTTTAATTTATGTTAGCTCAAATGCTAACAAGTATAAGCACAAATTCATCATAGATGATGATTAAAAAAAAAACATTTTCAAAGAAGACACTAGGATGCCATGTTTGTCATGGCCATGAACAGACAAGCCCTGTGCTGGTCTCCCTCTCCCACCCTCAATTTCTTGGTCTGGTGGGCCAGTGCCCAGAAGAGAGGAAATTCTACCATCGCTGTACCCTTCCTGCATCCCTGAATAGAGTAAGTGGAAAGTGACAGAAAAGAAGAAGTGTAGAAGGAAATCTCACGAGGGGCCTGGTGAATTTCTATTCCCCAGCCATGGCACTTCATGTGTCATCACCATGAGGCCTCAGAAGAAACCAATCCTGCGGACACCTTGATCTTGAACTTCTAGTCTCCAAAATTGTGGGTGAATAAATTTCTGTTTAAGCCACCCATTCTGACATTTTGTTACGTAGCTCTAGCAAGACAAATATAATCACTATTATCATAATCATAATCATCAGTATCAGCATGTCTGTTTTACTGACTCTATTTTCTTATAACCACTGAAAAAACAACTCTATTAACCCTGTTATACGTCCGGTCACCTTATCAAGCAGTCAAATACATGAGCTCATTTAACTCAGTGAGGTAGATTTTATTATTACCTCACTTTCCAGAATAAGAAAACTCAGGCTTTGAGTCAGATGCCTAATCAACAATGGAAGCTGACCTCGAACTCAAGTTTGTCTGACCCCAGATTACAATCATCCTCCTCCATTTCTACCTGATTCTGAACAGAGTAACACTTCAGCTTAAGAAAGACAATTCCTTAGAAGTAAGAGTGGGCCTTCCTTAAATTTGTAAGCCTTTAAAGGTTTGTTTTTATAGTCATCTGTGAAGAATACTCTCACCTACTCCACCTGTCCCTCACAATTCCAACTCTGTCACCAAAGGTTCTGCTAAACTTCCTCTGCCTCAGGAGAAACCAGACTAAAAAGATCACAAGCTACTATTGTTCAGCATGGATACCCGGTTCATCTACAGGAATCACCAACAAACCATGGTCCACAAAACACAGAGATTATGTGACACGCTTGAGCTACTCTATCATCTATGATGGTGCTCTGTGCCCGTATTGGATAAAGAAAGGTAAGGAGTCAGTTTCACTTTTTCAACTATTAATTACTGTTAAATGTGTGAAGTCAATTACTGCTTGATTACCAGATTCTGGTAGAATGATATATATGATTTGTATGTAATCATATTTGTCTTATACTTAATGTGTCAATTTTGCTCACTTAAAGAAACAATGAATTCTAATCTAGAACATTCTCTCTAAAGTCCCTCTGTATTATTGAAATATCCCTAGAATTGAACCATAGATGCAGATTCCTTTGGAATGCTTGATAACATTGGCTTCTTTTTTGGCCTGTGTTCTTTGATACCTGTACCATGGATATGTGTTAATTTTCTGAATGGGTGAGAATAAATGTTTGACTGGTAGACTTAGTCATATCTGATTTATATAGAGAATGTTTATATTCATGCCCTGTGATGCCAGAGGCACTTTATTCCCAAAAGAGGAGGAGTCTGAGGACAGAGCAATTGTGCTTTTTCACAGTGGACTTCACTCTTCTTACAGGTTTACCTAGCTTTAGTTTTATTTTTAACAATAAAACTGCACTGGGGGTGTGTCAGATTCCTTTGTGGATGTTAGACAAACCTGCTCACCTGAGAAATAGGAAGTATTTGCTGCATTCTGGAAATGCAAGCTTCTGGAATCTAAATGCTTTCTCTCCAGAAAGGGATCTTGAAAATCATATCATCCAACATCCTTTTGACAAATTTGGATATTGTGGCAAAGGAGAGTCAAGTGATTTTGAAAAGTCAGAAGAAAGGTGGTTTCCACATGGTGGTATGCTGACTCCATCGATCCCTTAATGTTCCTGCTCAGTGCTCTCTTATCATTGGGGAATCCTGGGACCAGTCCCATTATACTCTCTATCCTTTATATTATATTATACTCTCTATCCATTATATTCTCTATCTGAATGGTTTTTAAAGTAATTATATTATTTACTATTTGTTGCCTCTCTTGCCCTCCTAAAAAAATATAGCTTTAACGGAGTCTTGTTTACTGCCTTATCTCTAGATCCTATTTCATGGTAAACACCCAATGAATACTTCTTAAATGAACAATGACACTGGTGGCAGGTAGAGATTCCCCCTCCCGCTAAATGTGAATCGTAGCTTCCATTTTCCCAGAGTACTGTCCCCCAATTCAAATACCATCAACAGTGAATAATCTATTATGCTTATTGTACTCCAAGCACTGACTCAACCAGAAACCCTATGTGGAAGGTATCCCTACAATTTAATTTTACAGATTAGGAAACTGAGGCCTAAAGAAGTTAAGCAACTGGCTCAGGGCCTGCTACTCCAACCAAGGGGGCCCAGCTCCAGAGCCCACATACTCAGCTACTTTGCCTGATTACGTCTTGCAGTGGTGCCCGCCCTCGCCCACCAACATTACACTTTCTTCACTCCTCCTCCAAGTAAATGCTGGGAGTGATCAGGGGTCACTGCTTCCTTCACAAAGATGAAAAACGCAAGCTCAGCTAGAGGAAAGAAAGGATGAAGTCAGAGGCTTTACAGCTAAAAATGATGGACTCGTGAAATGGGAGACTATTAGCTTGGTCCCCAGGTGAGTCAACAGGGCAGGGAGGGAGAGAAGGATGAGTGGACATAGAGCTGAGGACTGGATGGGACACAGCCATGGGGGCCCAAGACAGGCTCCACATGACCACAGGAAGTGCTGAAAGGAAAAGATCCAATTGCAAATCACTCTACACAAAACAACCAAAAATAAAAACTTCACTGAATAATAACAAATACAAACGGAGGGATAATTCAGGTGCTTCTGTAGAAACATAAGGTACAGGAAAGCCATCTACAAAGCAGCTTAATTACAGAGCAGGGGACAGTGCCTACTTGCGTGAGAAAGAGGACCTCTTGCTTCCCGTAGTAGACATATGGACCTCAGGAGCCGAAATGCTGCCCGTGCTGCTGGAGGAGCTAAAATCAGCTTCACTACCTGAAAAACAACAGGGGAGAGAAGCATGAGGGAAAGGAAACAGCATCTGCTGGCCAGTGCCCTGCCTGAGGTCCCTGCCGCCTGCACTGCACACGCTAACTCAGCAAGGGCCCAAATTCCAGAGCTTCCAAGCTCTCAGTGGTTTCTCAGAGCAGACAAGAGAAGGCAGGAGCACAAGGACGTCGTTTCATAAACACAGGCTAGAAGCACAGCCGGGGCTAGTTTCATCTTAATGCCAGTCTTCCAGCAGACTACCAACAGTGGCCCAAGGCCAGAGAGAAATGCCCGCCTCCCTGGGTCAGTCTGTCACTCAACAACAACAATGTGCATGCCCAGAGTGTAAGCAAAAGGAAAAGCACACTTATTGGTTTAAAAGTAGTTTTGCCAAGACAGTTTTATCTTTGGGATCTTGTGGCCAGCTAGTCATAGTTGAATCTGGCACATTAGGTCCAGAGATAGTCAAGCCGTTAGGAGTCAGGAGGAAAGCCAGGCCTGGCAAGTGCTTGACCTGGCAAGATCTGATTACAGACCTGACTTTCTCTGAACTGCAGCTTCAGGTTTTTTTGTTTTGGTTTTGTTTTTTTTTTTTTTTTTTTTTTTTTTAATAAAGAACAGAACCTTGACTAAAAGCAGAACATTAATATTTCCAAACAGAGTGACAGATATGGGACCTGTGACTTATCCCGAAATTCGGAATCTTAGTTTTGGGTTAGGGTTGTTTCTTAGTTCATAAAGATCTTATTATCTTTAGAGTACAGAGCAAAAATTGGGTGTAGGATTATAATAGAAACGTACTGTGTGGTAGAATATCATAAATTCATTCTAATGGAAAGCACAGAGTTGGGAAGTAGCAACAATGGAGATATTCCCATAGATTGTCTGGGGAATGAGGAGAGGGTAGAAGAGGCAAGAGAGAACAATAGGAAAAGAGGACTTTTAAAGAGAAAGATGAAAATCCATGTGCTTTTGGAAATAAAATTATACTATTTTATTTGACCTTGTTACTCAACTCCCACCACACAATTTGTGATTTTTCCAGTCTAAAAGCCAGAGAACCAGTTCCCCTTTGGGAGTTGAGGGAAATAAAGTAATCTAAATCCTTGAGTTTCTCACAGCAGTGAACAATGATTATCATCATCATAAGAATTATTTATTGAGTGCTTACTGGGTCCCAGCCCTGTAAGAGATTATTTCTATTCTTTTTGCCATTTAATCTTGGTGGCTTTATAAGGCAGACATTAAACTTCTATGAAAACATGCTTCCTCTTTGGGAAGGCAGTGGGAGGGGTCAGGGGAACAGGAAGTTTCCTGAATCAACTAGACATTGTCAACTCCCTAACAGGCCCTGGTGAGCCTAGGAACAAGATAGAGCCAGACTTTGGTCCACTGATAAACAGATTCTTCTCTCTTTCTCTGAGGAGAAAAAAAGTCCCTTCTCCAACTTCTAGGGACCCTCAGAAAGTCCAACCTTCCTCTTCTCACCAGATAACAGCTACGCCTCCCAGCTCCTAGCAGAATTTGAAGATCAGGGTGGCAATTTATGAGGACCCAGACCAGCTAGCTATTCCTTTTGGATTGCAGAGACTTTGTCTAATGATGTAAAGAACTACTGAAGCTCCCTGAACTTAAGTAGTTGCTTCTAAGGAATGCACTAGCTGAATTACAGTTTTACAGTCTCAAGGATTCTTGATTGGTAGTGCAATCCAGCAACACATTCTTCATAACAGCCTAATTCAAATAGCTTTGTCTGGTAGCAAATTATCAGGATGGTTATTAAATGATAAAGGTTGGTAATTTTCAAAAATAAAACTGTGGTTGCAGTCACCAGGTTTAAGTTATTATTTTCTAATGTGAAATTATTACTCAGAAACACCCAGTTTTCATTCTTTAAAAGATACAAAAACCCATGAATTATAATTTAATTGCCCGCATAAAAAACAAACTCTAGAACAGAAACAGACAATTGCTGAAAATCCACTGTTGCCTCAGGATGCTTTTGATCTGTAGTGACTATATTTTCTGAGCTAAAGGGATAACTTTGTTTCATATCCTGGAACTCAATATATTGGCTCTTACACATTTGCAGCGCCTAAGGTCACTCTGCCCGAATAGTTTTCTATCTTATCTTCTGCACATCTGGAAAAGATTATCAGACACATTCAGGATGCCCCATAGCTATATTCTGAACTGCTTGAATATGGTTTTGAAAAATGCATATGCCACTTCACAACTACTTCAGTTTGTGATTTGAAAAATATAAACCATTTCCAGTTTGATAAATACAATGTAAAAAATCAATGAGCTCTTTTTAAGGGTTACACAAGACAAGTAGTTTTATTTTATTTTTGAGACAGGATCTTGTCTCAACAGTGCGGCTACAGCATCATTGCAGATACTGTAGTTCAGTGTGGTTCTTTTGGGTTACTGAAGTCATACACAGAGAGACCTGACAAACCCAGAACCTGAGTCAGATGGCCTGGACTCAGTTGAACACTACTTCTGCTTACCATTTGGAGGACTTTAGACAACTCACTTCACCTTTCTGTGGCTCAGTTTCCTTATTTGTTAAGTAGAAATAATAATGATAGCAATTGCTTCAAAGAGTTATTAATATACTTATAATATATAGCTTAGAGAAGCAACTGACTCATCATAAGCTCTGAATAAATATTAGCTATTATTATCATTCTAGAGGGGTTAAAAAGGTACCTTTTGTTATTTTTTTTTGTAGACAATTAAAATTTTTTTTGAAAATTCAGCAATGATCAAGAAGGAGAAATAAAATCTATAATTCCATCACCAAAAAATAACTATAGTTAGACCTTTGGCACATAACTATTCACCATCCAAACTTAACACATTATTATATAACCTACTTAATTTTTTTAATAATACATAACTATCTCTAACACATACCACATTTTTAACAAAATCAATGATATGTAAGCTAAGTCCAATTTTTGTATTATCAGAAACAAACATTATATACCAGAAACTATCCTAAGCACCTATTACATATTAACTCATTTATTTTTCATGAAGTAGGGACAATTATCAGTCCCTTTTATAGATGAGAGAGAGGGTGGGAGGAAAGAATGGCATACACAAAGAGACACAACTAATATAAAGAATGGAATCCAGGTCTTCTGCCCCCAGGTACCATGATCTTAAACCTATACTAATGTTCAATATTCTTGGGAATATATATGTATATATTTATCTGCTTGTTGATCTCTATAAATTCCTAAAAGTAGAGTTTTAAGCCAAAGGATATGCTTAAATTGAAAGATAAAACATACTCCACATCTGTAGGGATTTGGGGATGGCACTGCCTAAAGTCAAGACATTATTTGCCTCATTTGTCTGCATGTAGATACCCAATTGGAAAATCTCTGATATCATGGAAATACTGCAGTGGAATGTGGGACACTATTTAGCCATTGAAAACTGTGTTTGAGAGGCCGAAAGGAACTTTAAAATAAAGCATATCCAAGTCATTCTCACCAACACTACCTTTGTCCCTCGTAAAACTGTCTTTAGTCAGCTGCAAGATTGATGCTCCAGGGTTCCAGGACTCAACAGGGAGGATGAGTGTGGTGACAGAGCAACCCTGCCATCTACTAAGTACTTCCTAAGGCCGAACTCTGGGTGACGAAGCACCTGCAGCAGAGGGCACTGTTCCAGTCATCAAGAAGCTATGCCTGGAGACTTCCCAAAGTGCTGGTGCTGTTTGGTTTGGTCATACTGCTGGATTCTTTTGCAAGGTGTTGTGTTTCTTAATAATGTTAGTCATAAGCTCCTAGAGTGCGTGTGGTTAAGACTAGGGAAGTAGAGAAGAAAAAATGGGAACAAAAGGACTATGTGCTGAGCTGGTTGTGGAGGTGTACACCTGTAATCCCAGTTACTTGGGATTGTTGGAATAGGAGTACTAGAAGTTCCAGACCAGCAACTTAGTGAGACCCTTTTTAATATATATATATATATTTTAATTTTTTATAAAAAATTAAAAGAACCAGGGGGTGTAGCTCAGTGATAAAGTACCTCTGGGTTCGATCCCTGGGCAATACCCAAAAAACAAAACCAAAACTGATGACTCGGCTTATTAATATGGAAGGAAAAACCTGGGAATTAAGTAAATCTCTTTTAGAAAATGTTTTCACAGTTCTGGGCACTGAACCCAGGGCTTTGCATATGCTAGACAAGTGCTGTACCATGAGCTACATCCCCAGCCTCTGGACTTATTTTTAAAACACTGCCTGTAATCAGGTCTCCTAGGACATTATTATTTTTGCCTGCCTTCTGGATACTATGGAGTCCTCATATGTCACAACACCCAAGGCCTCTGAGAACACAGCAACCCTGCTATCTACTAAGCTGTATGAAGCCATTTGAAACCATTGATTTCAGAAACTCCAAACCCTCCGTTTTCCTTTGTTACTGAAAAGCTATCAGGTTGACCATCTAATATCCCCACCTCAAATAGAGGCAGCAAATTAAAAAAAGGAAAAAATATTAGTTTCCCACCCCTTCATCTCCCAGCCTTCCCCCGCCCCCAACATACACAAAGATATGCAGCTCTTTTATTTAAAGGTCTCTAGGGAGGAGAGAGGAGCCACTTTCACTGAAGCCAAGCTCAGCTATCAGGAAGCAGCTGGAGCAGGGAACACATGCAATTACAGCAGACACTATTAAAACGAGATGCTCTGAAGTAGATCAGTAGGGTAGACTCTTAGCTGCAAAGCCTGGGGGTCCAGCCAAGGACTGAAAGAAACTCTCTACAAACAAACAGGACTTTCCTTTTAGTTCTTGCAAACTACTTCCCTGAACCCCCACTGATACTTATTTCAGAAAGAGAGTATCTATAAAAGATCAATAAATCGACTGAAGACACATAGGCAGATTTTCTTCCATTTCAGAATAGAAGTCTTCTAGAAAAATTATAAATATAATTTCCATTTACATCATAAATTCAGAAATGATTTGTCTTCATTGTGATTGAT